TGGATAGCGAGTCTCGGCATCCGTCAGTGTATGACTGACGAAGTAGATCGGTTGCTGACTTTTACTCTCTTCCTTCAGCAATACTGCGCTGATGGTGGCAGGGCTAACGGCCACATATAGGTATAAAGTTTCTCCTTCAGCTGGGCTAGCCAGCGTTGGGAGTTCAGCCAGATGCTCCCGAAGCTGTTTAAAGGCGTCTTTTTGCTCTTCCTCCCAAACGAGCTCTTTTGTTTTCGGGAGTTTCAGGGCTTTGAAGAAAGGTAACCCCTTATCCAAAGCTCTGGAAATGAACCTCGAGAAGGCTGCCATTCTTCCGGTGAGCCGCTGAACATCCCGCTTTGTTTTCGGCTCAGGAAGGTCGAGTGCCGCTTTGACTTTAGAGGGATTGGCATCAATCCCCCTTTTGCTGACCATGAACCCAAGGAATTTCCCTGACTTCACGCCGAAGACACACTTCTTCGGATTCAGCTTCATTTGATGCTTTCTCAAGGTGGCGAAAGTTTCAGCCAGGTCCTTTACATGGTCCTCTAGTTTTTTGCTTTTGACGATCGAATCGTCAACATAGACTTCCATGTTTCGGCCCTTTTGATCGGCGAAAACTTGATCCACCAGCCTTTGATAGGTTGCCCCCGCATTTTTCAATCCGAAGGGCATCATTTTGTAATTGTACACCCCAGCGTTCGTGACGAATGCTGTCTTTGCTCGATCGTCGGGGTGCATAAAGATCTGATGATACCCCGAGAATGCGTCCATGAAACTAAGCAAGGCATGGCCACTTGTCGAATCGACTAGCTGATCGATCCTCGGCAAGGGATAGAAATCCTTTGGACAAGCCTTATTTAGGTCCGTGAAGTCAACGCACATCCTCCAGGTACCATTGGGCTTCTGAACCATCACCACATTTGCCAGCCATTCTGGATATTGGCAAGGTTCGATGAATCCTGCCTCCAATAATTTTTTGACCTCGGCTGCGATGTCTCGGTTCTTATTGGCGGAGTAATTCCGCTTCTTTTGCTTAACTGGTCGACACGTCGGGTCAACATTAAGCTTATGGGAGATGAGGTCTGAACTTATCCCGGGCATATCAGCTGCCGAGAAAGCAAACACATCTCTGTTGTCCCGAAGGAGCTGAATAAGTTCACAACGGGTGTTCGGATCAAGGTCCATCCCGATTGTTACACATTTCTCAACGTCTCCTTCGGCCAACTCAACTGTTTCAGTCTGTTGGTCCATGTCCATTGCTGATGGACTGGACTCTTCAGAATCTGGCCTGCTGCCAATGTCAGCAGGTGTCCCAGTCTTTTTGTTCTTCGGCTGGCTCTCTGAGTCTTGCGGCTCAGCTGAAGAGCTAGCCTTTTCCCTTTCGGGCCCTTTTTCTCTGGGCACAGATCCTTGGGCCGAAGCACTTAGGCCTTTTGGCTTTTTTGTGCTTGGCTCTCTTTCTTTTTCCTCCTCATCCTTGTCGTCATCTGGGCGACTACTGGATGGCTTGAGGTAGTTGCACCTTCGGGCGTCCTTTTGGTTGCCCTGTATCCTTTCGGGGAAGCCGGCGTCTGAGACGTAAATCATCAGTTGATGATAAGTTGAGACGACCCCTTGGATCTCGTGAATTATGGGTCTCCCCAAAATCACGTTGTACACTGAAGGAGCGTCGATGACCAAAAATTCAATCATGACGTTCCGGGCTGCCTCATCGCAACCGATGGTGACAGGAAGTGTCACCTTCCCATCTGGATAAGTTGAAGCCCCATTGAACCCGGATACCGGGTAGGGTACCGGCGTAAGGTGCCTGGGCTTCAGCTTAATTTGCTTGTAGGCCTTTCGGAACAGAATGTTTGCTCCACTGCCACTGTCAACAAGGACCTTACTGACGTCGTGGTTGGCCACCGTGGCGATGATCACCAACGGATCCTCGTGAGGGAACGTAATCCCCCGGCAGTCGGCGGCTGTGAACGTCATGTTCGGCACCGGCGACTGGGGAGATTGAATGTCAGCGTTGTTCACCTGGTGAGTCAAAGCTCTAAGGTGTCGCTTGTGCTCCCTCCGAGAGTATATTCCTCCCGAGATAACATTGATCGGAGGGAATTTCCCCTCCGGCTTTTTACTGTTTTTCCGGGGGAAGTCGAGGTCTTGCCGAGGGTCCTTTGCTGACCTCTCGGATTCTTTTTTCTCGCGGTGATCCGCGATGTATTTTTTCAAGTATCCCTTCCGGACCATGTCCTCTATCGGGTCCTTCAGTTGGATACACTCCTCAGTGTTGTGTCCCGAAGACTCGTGGAACTCGCACCACTGATTTTTATTTTTTCGCTGATACCACTCTGGGAGTGGTCTCGGCTTTCGGTAACTCTGCTCCTCCTTCGTCACGCTGTAAATTTTGGCGCGTGGAAGAGAGAGCGGAGTGTAGGACTCGTATCTGCCTGTGTATGAGGCAGATCTTTCCTTCTTTGGGTCGGTGGCCAAAGATTGCTCCGGGGCCTTTGACTTTCCCTTTTCCTTATGGCCTTGGCCTTCAGACAAGGGTATTTGTCTCTATTTCCCTCCCCCGAATTGAGGTTGGGTTTTCGCTTTGTTCCATTCTTCGGCTCGGATGAACTTATCCGAAGCATTAAGAGCTTCCTCCAAGGTCTGCGGGGTATGCATGACCATGAAGTCTAGGAACTTTCCGGGCTGAAGGCCATTCTGCATTGCGAAAACGGCTAGCCCCTGGTCCAGCTGGGAGACGCTTGATGACTCGTTACTGAAACGGGTCAGGTAGTCTCGGAGGCTTTCGGTTTCCCCCTGTTGCAGACTCATGAGCTCTGCGGTAGTCTTCTCTCGGCGGTTTGCCGTGGAAAACTTGCTCCTGAACTTGGAGGACAGATCATCCCACCCTGTTATGGAGCCTTGCCTTACTCCCTTGGATATCCACGCTTGCGCGACCCCCTTGAGAGTGGTTGGGAAATATTTGCACCAAGTCGCCTCGGATCTGGGGCAAAGATGCATATGAGTCTCATACGAGGCCACGTGATCCTTCGGATCCGTGGTCCCGTCATATGTGATGTGCGACGGTATTTTAACCGTGGGTACGCGCTCTTCCAGTATCCATTGCTCGAATGGTGAACTGGCGGGTAGCATAACGGCCTTGCCCTTGTTCCTGGCCGAAGGGACCGCGCTCCGCCCTCTTAGAGAGGTAGGAGTGGTTTTCGTCCCTGGCTGGGAAGTCTGGGCCTCGGCTCCAGGGAACGAGAGGCGACTGTGCACGCTCGGTTCCTTGCCGCCGAGTCGGTCAAGGACGCCTCTGCGAACAGTCTCAGGTTCTCGGTGAGTAGATTCTGGCCGAGAAGCTGAGCTGCTGCTCTTATGCGCTTCTGGTCTTGAGGATGAGAATCCTTTTAAAAATTGAGGGTTCTTTTTCCTCTGTTTTTCATTTTTCCAGGAATCCTCCTCCCACTCTTCCAGTTCCCGGAAGGAAGGAAGCTTCCCGCCATCATGGTCTAACTTCCTCCGCTGATGCCGGGTATGCGGAGGAGTTCGATCACGAGGTGGTGGCATATTTTGTGCCCTCATCGCCTCCATGAGTACTGCCAGCGCTCTTGCCACCTCTTCCGAGCTGGGCCCCGTCAAAGGGGTCCTCGGCCGAGTGTGGGAATGAGGGCGCGCAGCCGATGGTTGGCTTTGGGACACTGAATGTGTCCTATGATCGGACTCACCCTTGCTAGACCGAGAGTAACTCGGCCTATAATGAGAGTCATGAATTACGGGAGATAGGGAATCCTCCTTGTATGATCCTCCCCCCGAGCCGGCACCCTTGGGAGAGTTCCGGTCCGGCGAGGGTGATGGTGTAGGGGTTTTAGGCTTTTCGCCCGCTCCTTGACGGAGGCTTTTGCTCTTGCGGTTCTTAGCCATTGCTGCTAAAATAATTGCAAGATGATCTTGGTTAGGAATTTGGCTTAAAGATTTTTTGAAAGTCTTCCCCACAGACGGCGCCAAATTGTTTCGGGTGAAAACAATGGGACCTTGCCGAAGGTCCGCTGAAACGGAGAAGGCTGGATTCGGTCCAAGTTATGTTGGGCCGGAGGTTTCCTGCACAGTAAACACACGTAAACTAGCCTCGGGGGTGTTGCCGAGGAAGGCCCCTCCGATGCTAAAGTCAGTACAATGTGTAAGAAGAGGACACTATGCAAGAGAGTTTATTGCTTGAGGCTTTGATGGAATATATCAGAATATATCAATGAACATATCTATGAATGAATCTATGAATGAATCTCTGAACGAATCTATGAAATGTATCAATATTGATGGCTTTTATACCTCATCATACATGGAGAGGTTGGGCCTTAGCCCAATTGGCTTGCTTTGTGGGCTGACCTTTGACTTTAGCACAATTGGAGAGTTGAACCTTGACCTTGGGCTTTTAATTGGATCATTTAATGCCTAGGCCCAATTGGACTAAATTGGACTCAAACAATATATATAGACGAAACTTGCTCATCTGTCTAGCTAGCAATGATCAATGATTACATTAAACAAAATGCATGAATGTCAATTCTAAGCAAAGAAACACAATTACATTGCATTGTCCACTATCAAAACCATCAACACAAACATCATCATCAACCACAAACCAAACATATAAACCCACCCTATATTATTGATGTTGATTACAATCCACCATAACACCAAAGTTAGTTAAGTTGATCCATTATTTTCACTCAACTCTTTATCACCAAATCCAACCTTAGCTTAAACACACATTATTGTCTTTTGCCACATTGAGTTTGACACAACACCAACAAAAAAGACAAATTGGAAGCAAAAAAGTGGGACCCCCAAAATCTGCCTCACAAAACCTGGTCACACGTGGACTCTACCACTGAACACCAACTAAAATAACCTGTATTTTATCTCTCCTCATTAATTACGACTTAACCCTATATTACAAGGTCAACTATTTAGTCGCATTCAAGTCTAACACCCAAAGATTCGTAACTTCTTTGATTAATTAATTTACTAATCCTAATTTCCCAAATTCAAATCCAAATCAAATCATTTAATTAATGATGCTTAAGATTCAAATTTTTAACTAACGAACCATCCTTCCTTCTTCTAATCACTTCTACTAATACTCACTTACTCACTCACTCGCACACTTACTTGGATTTTGATTCGATTTCTACAAAAATATTCACTTAATAAATTTATTTTCCAGTCAATTTTAGCTACTCATTCTTGAGATCTTCATTTCCTACCTCCTCGAATCTTCCTTTTTTCCATTTTCTCTCTCCTCTCCTTCCTTTACTTAACCTCTCCAATCAACTTCACTTATCAAGTCCACTCTCATTAACCTCTTTTTAGGTTCGTCTTCTCTCAAGACTGTAACCTAACTTATCCGTCACATATACAGATATGGCGCTTGTAGTGTCATTTTGTGGGGAAAGTCAAGCGAGGAAATCGTCCTCATTCAGGAAGCCATGGATGTTGAAGGATTACCTAGGGGACGACTTGAGCTCGTGCTCCTCCAATGGGTTCCGATCATTTCCTCGGCGACAATGCTGCGTTGCAGTACGCAGCATTATCGAGAACGAAATTACTCGGAACCACCGTATTAGTAATAGTAGTAGTAATAGTAATAATATGAAACCTCCGAAACGTATCCTGGTGAGAAACAGGAGCGTTTCGGGGACGCTTCATAAAGCGTCAATGGCGTTGATCAACGCCGTGAAAATGCTTCCGTTTAATTCTCAGGCGAAATCCGGTGACGGAAAACGGTTTCTTCCTAGAAGCTTCTCGAAGAAGCTGTTTCGGAGAAGTTTCTGGAAGAGAGAGAAGAGTAATAATGTAGTGGTTGTTTTGAAGAAGGAAGGTGTTCATGATGATGAGATCGAACGGTGGATATCGTCTGGTGTTGCTGGAACGGAGAAGTATAAGCCGTCGGATTTGTCGAATGATACGACGGTAACTACGACGAGTGGTAGTAATAGCGACGGTAAAAGTGAGAGTAGTTGGTCGGATCTTACTTTTAATTCGGATAGTTTGACTTGTTCTAGTGAAAACGACGCCGTTGAGAGGAGTGAGAAAATGGAGGAAGAAGTGGTCAGCCGAATAGTTGGCGTAATAGCTGCTGATGATACCGTTAAGCCAGCCGTTGCTAAGGTTAGAATGTGTTTTGAATTTAATGCTTCTCTAATCTTAATTACTTTATGCATTTTCTTGAGGTATGATATCAAATTTGAGTTTTCTCATAAACGCAATTTCAAAATATTTGAGTGATGGTACCTTTTTTCGTTTTCTTATTAATCGCAATATTTTGATTTATCATATTATTTAGACATTTTAACTAATTTTGATAAACTATGACTATAATGAGAAGCGTAAAAATTATAGTATAGTGTTACAAGTATTTGTAAATTTTTTTAAAAAAAAATGAAAGAAGTATAAAGTAATATTTACGGAGTATTTTCTTTTTGGTTTATAGCTTTCGTTTTAGTGTAAGATGTAAATCTATGCCGTTAATTAGCTTGGGTTTGACTCATTAGAAATTAATAAATGACTTTTTGGTTTTTAGAAAAATAAAGATTAAACATTGAAAATATATGGCGGCGGGAAGAGGGGAAAGAGCATGACACTCACGTGCGGGAGTATTTCATATCATTGATTCGTGGGGAAATATTTTTGGAGGTGTAAGAATTAATTTGCCACATAGTTTTTTCCAGGGAATCATCACCGTCCCTTCTTGCCACGTTATGCCACTCAGCGAGATCAACGGCTATCATAACTCGCTGGACCATGGTATTTTCGTACAATTCGAGATATTATTAGATCACAGCTCTAATTAAAATACTCCGTATAATATTATGAAATTGGGCATGCTATGCTATAATTAACTCTAACTATTATAGTCAGACCACCAATTTATATCGTAATTATGAGATGTACTCCGATTCAGATTATTAATTATGTTTATAGTAAGTGCATTTATTAATTATTTAGCTACATTTTCACATTTGGTCGGTGTTTGATACTAGGAAAGTAGAGGCAATGTTTGGTACAAATTACTCCTTAGTCTTAAACTTTAAATTAATACGTAGTATAATTAAGGAATAGAGAGAGTATTCATTTTTTTCTGGATCATTTTTAAGTGACCATTGTATGATAAATATGGATAATTAATCAGAAATGAGGTTTGCATGTCAAGTGAAATCAAAATCTTTTGTATACATCCGGTTTACACTAATATTAGTGTACATCGAGCAGTATAAGGGTAACTTTTAGATAATTTTAGGGTAACTTTTTGTCTTTTTTGGATAACTTTAAACATAATACAATTTTTATATAAATCAACAACAAGAAAAGTTTTATAAAGGTAATTTAATTACATTCATAATTACATTCAATCACAAATAGTTGATTTTTAGTCATTTAAAATTTGATTCTTTACTAATAAAGCTAGATAATTTTTATTTGAATTGGGTTACTTTAACTCATATTGGGGTAACTGACAAATTATTTATGAGAGAATAGTTTTAATTGTATTGATGATCTTGGCTAATATTTATAGCCTACATAAGATAACCTACACAATATAAACTCTATCATATAAAGTTCCATAAATCTATCTTAGAATATCACTAAGATATATTATTATCCTAAATATAATATCATAAGATATATATGGAAAATATATCACAATAATATATTTTCCTATATTTCCAACACCCTCCCGCAATTGTAACGACAGTAACACGAACGTTATGATTGGAAATTCGCACTTTGTTGAAGTTGATCGAGTTGCACTACTCTGTTGATGTCGCCTTCAAATTTTTTTTTATTTAAAAAAAAAGAACTTTTGCTACCACGACCCTTTGCTGGTGTCCATGGTCTTCTGTCACGACCCTTTGCTGGTGTCCGTGGTCTTTTGTCACGGCCCTTTGCTGGTGTCCGTGGTCTTCTTTGCCACGGCCCTTTGCTGGTGTCCGTGATCTTCTTTGCCACGGCCCTTTGCTGGTGTCCGTGATCTTCTTTGCCATGCCCTTTGCTGGTGTCCGTGTTTTTTTGCAAATTTTTTTTTAAATAATAAATAATACGCCAAACATGGCTTTTCTTCATCTCCTTGGAGATGCAATAATGGAGGAAGCACACTCAAACACTACAACCTAATCAAATCACATATGACCATTCATATTGATCACGTATCACATGGTTATTCCAAAAAAAAAAAGATTAAATAAAAAAAAATAGAAATTTCAAAGAGCAATACTATTGCATAGCGGAAGCAAATTTATGAATCCCACCGGTGGGTTTAATATTCTAACCCACCGGCAGGGAGAGAATTTGTGTGAACGGTCCCAAGATTTAACCTGCTCTTGATACCATGACAAATTATTTATGAGAGAATAGTTTTAATTGTATTGATGATCTTGGCTAATATTTATAGCCTACATAAGATAACCTACACAATATAAACTCTATCATATAAACTTCCATAAATCTATCTTAGAATATCACTAAGATATATTATTATCCTAAATATAATATCATAAGATATATATGGAAAATATATCACAATAATATATTTTCCTATATTCCCAACAGTAACTTTTATTCATTTCAATAGTAACTTTTAATCACTTTAGGTTATCTTTATAATGGATATCTTTATTGTACACCCAATTTTTGTTTAAAGTTTTTGAAATTCTTTTAGCACTTCTAGTTGACAAAGTAAGACAACGCAACTTACGCAAGTGAATGTCAATAGCTTAAGTTGATATATTTTTATAAGCGATGTTAAGACATTAGACTGACTTACGACATAATTTCATAGTTTGCCATTATTTAAACCGTAGAAAGAAAATCTTGCTTGAAATTCCATCATAAAAAACATTCACTTAATTAAATCATAGAAAGATGTTTCAAAATTAAAAAAAAAAATAAAAAATAAAAAATAAAAAAAAGAAAAAAATCATAGAAAGAAAAACCCTTAACAATATTTGGAGAAATTTGGTTGGAGGATATGATGGGCTTGCTGTTGGGCCTAAAAACTTTGTTCAAGTGACAAATACATTGAATTGTTCTTATGGAAATACTTGATTTGTTCTCTATGTTTCATACATTGATATAAAAATTACTTAAGCAATTTAGAGCAATGTCTAATTAGATTTTGAATATGATTACAGGAGAAAATGTGGTTTAACGAAGAAAGTGAGAAGGAACAATCAAGCCCAATATCTGTCTTGGATTTTCCTTACAATGATGAAGGAGGTTCCTCGCCCTTCACTCTTAGAGTATCAAGGCTAAAAGGTACCTTATTCGATCATTTACGTACATGTCTTTAACATGTTGTCCCATATAAAAATTCATCTACTACTAAGTAGCTTAATCTAACCTAATGCTCTCGAATTTTCGATTGGCAGGGACTCAAGAAAGGCTTATGCAAAAGCTTGGAAGATTTGAATGTTTAGCCGGACTAGAACCCATTAATCTCGAAGGCCTAATCTCATCCTCTGAGATTGTAGATCGAGTACCTAAGCATTCGATCATACCTTGCTCAACACCTAGCTATATTCTATCTAGTGAAAGTGAAGAAGAAGAGGACGAAGAAGAGGAAGAAGAAGAACAACAACAAAGTCATGTAAGCGACGTTGAAAAACAAGCGCAACACTTACTAAGCATTGTGAATGCTAGGATACAATCAAAAACAATGCACAAGTGTGATCTTGAAGATGTTTTACTTGATTTCTTTCGCGAAAATGTTCCACATAAGGCGAATGATGCATTGTTGCAAGCAGCTGAGGGTTGGATAGACGGACATTATGAAAAGTTAATATTAGGGTGGGAGGTGAAGGACAAGAGGCAAGTTTACATTAGGGACATGGAAGAGGGAGGATGGTGGCCAAGAGATACTCAATTAGAAAGGGAAGAAGTTGCAACAAAGCTCGGCGATGAGGTTATGGCACATTTGATGGAAGATCTTATGGTTGAAATGTGTAATTCCTAGCTAGGAGTCCTTAAGATAAAATCAGAAGCGGGATATAGATTTAATTAGTACTCCTTTTGAATCCTTTATGTTCTTTCCATTTGAAATCTCTTGCTAGACAAATATAATCAAAATGGAAAGAACAAAAAGGATCGGAGGGAGTAGGACTAGTTCATTAGTATTAACACTATTGTATGTGAATATTTGCATAGGGGAATTCTTATGGTACATTAGTTTTGAATAAGATAGGAGGAGATAAAATAGATACAACTATAAGTAGTTGATCATCCCATGTACTCTGTATTTTGGTTCTTCCTTTTTCTTTATCTTGAGAAAAAGGATGGAGATTTTTTGGATTTCAATTAACAAAACGTTTTTGCAATTTGTTAACATGCAATGGTGTATAATTCTATGTTTTTCAAATGCTAGTAGCGAAATTTCATCTAGAATACGTTTTCATTTTCTCATATGTGGATTACGTTTCATCAAAACAAATCTATTAAGATGAAGGATATTTAAATAGTTCACTTTATTTTTCATTGTTGTAACATCACAAATGTTACAAAAATTTTATGATTGATATTGTGAAAGTATAAGTTGAGATTAATTTTTTAATAAGATCAATTCAACCAAAAGCCTAACCTCATGAATAAGTTTTATATTCTACAAAAATCTAATAAGATTTGATGTAAGCTAAGTTTATTTTTCAATTGAGTATAAAACTATATATTGAAGAGAATCAAATTCGAGAATTTAATAATACTCCATATTACAAAAGTCAATAGCGACTAAATAAATAGAAGTAGTGATAAACTGATAATTGTTCATGCCAAATTCGATAAATTAAAGTTCGTAAAATCTAAAGATGTGGTAGCATTCATTATCGACAAACACATACATGTGTTTTAAGAATTTGTAATTCATCATTGTTATTACATTGCAGTTTTCTTTCTTTTTTTTTTTCCTTGGAAATATGAAACAGAAAAAGTAGGTGAATTGTATTCAATTCGATTTCTACAATCTAACGTAAACAATAAGGGGAAAATTGCCAAAAACACATTTACAAGAACACCCATAACTGAAATCAATTTTTGAAAACACATCTAAGTTATCTAACTACTCTTCCATCACTTCAATAATGACTCAATGTCACTCATTTATAGTAGGCATTCAATTCAATTTTGTCAAACAAAAAATAAAAATAAAAAATAAATAAAAAGAAAAAAGATTTCAATTTGTGCCAAACTAATGTTGTTAAATACTCCCTTTCTAAAATTCTAACAGAAGAATTGTCACATTTGAATTTTTTTTTTTATTGTTTTCAAAATGGCAAGTATTTAATTTTTTTTTTGAAAAAAAAGGTCCCACATGTATTCAACGGGAATTGATTTTGGTACACCCTTAATTGATATTAACAGACTGTGCTCTCACATAAGGTGTGCCAAAATCAACTTATGTTGTGCCAAAATCATTTCCTGTATTCAATATAAGGAAAGTGGAGAAGGTAATAATGATTGTCAATGAGTGTAATATTGCAAGAGCCATGACTTTTGTTTTAGGTGATAGGTTATTTTTATCGCAAGTACTAAATGCAGTACAAAATAACCTAAATGCAGAAATTAATTAATAATATGAAAATAATAAAATGACTGAAATACCCTTTCTCAAAATGAAAAAACTGATTTGCCATTTCATCAGGATTTTTGTTTTTACATTTTTTATTTTTCTATTCATTATACTCGCCAATTTTTTTCATTTCAGTCACCATTTATTTATATATTTTTGCAATTCATTTCATTCCACCATTTCCCTTAAAATTCTTCAATCTGGGCCCTAGAGACGAAGAAATCGTTCACCGCTCATAAGCCATCCGGTCTTAGGTTTTTTTTTCGTATAATTTTTTTGTTGAATTGTTATAATTTTTCAGTATAAATACCTCGACTTTATTTTTCGGGGGTACTAGAGACCCCAGGAAATCTTAGCCGGGGGGTACTGAAGACCCCCGTAAAGCTTAGCCAGGGGGTATTGGAGACCCCTGGAAATCATAGCCGGGGGGTATTTAAGACCCCCGGAAATCCTAGCCAGGGGGTTCTTGGGACCCCCAGAAATTGTATAAGGGGGAATGGGGGATGCTAGAGACCTTCAAAAATCTTAGCCGTATAAGATGGAAATTTTATGTTGTTTTATTGTTCATCTATTACACCACATAATTTTCATACCTCAAAAAAATGTCGTAGTGCACTTCATTATTGTCTAGGAATTTGTATAGTATTGAATACTCCGTATTAAATAGGATAATATGGTTGTAAATTAAAACAGTTGGGATGATTATATAATTAGGAGTGTACAGGATTTAATTTTAATCATTTAAAAAAAGTGTAAAGGATTAAGTTAAAACAAGGACAAAATTAGAACATAATTTTTTTTAAAAATAACTTATTCTGCATTTAGGTAAAATTATCCTACTCCCCATTTTTATTTATAAAAGTGCATACTAGCCAGTATTAGAATGGCCCAATAAGCCATGTCAACGGTCCATTAGAAAGTGAACCAAACCGAATCACTAACACACACGAGCACCTGCTTCATCGATCATGTGCGGTTTGCCAAATAAAACTTTGTTTGGCATATTCTTTTTTTCCCGCAAACGGAACTATAATCTACGGTTCAAATTAAAAGTTAAAACCAATCACATCATAACGGCTATAATTTCATCTCACCATAAATCCCAATTATTTTTTTAATTATTGAATTAATTTTCACCTTCATTCTCTTTCAATTAATTTTTTTAATTATTTTTTTAACCCCCAAAATTATTTGAACCAAACAAAAACCCTAATAATTTCCTGCTACTTCTTTCTCTCTCCTCTTTTTTCTGCAAAATTTAAATCACTCTTGTCAATTTGTTTTCTCGTCTCTTTCAACTGTATTGGTGTTTCTGAGTGTCGAATCCAATGATTGGTACAAAGCGTCGAAACGTTTCATTGAGCTCCAATGCTGATGAAAATCCTGTGAGTTCAAAAGTTTTAATTTTTTAATGTTAGTGTAATTTGATTTTAGTTTATAGCACGGAATACTATTTGATTGAATACCTATGTTTGGTTTTATCTTAGTTTTCCTGGGTATTTGATGATTTTGGGATTTATATTGTGATTATAGTGTATTTTAATTTTAGAATCAATGCTTTTTATTGGTTAGAAGTTTGTAATTGTTACTCAAATATAAATTTATGTTGTTTGATTATATTGGGTTAGGTAGAGTTTGTGCTTAGATGTTAAGTGAGTGTATTAAGTTAGCTGAATTTGTGACCTGCCTAAAAAATTGGTGCAAATTTGGAGTTTGAGCTATAGAATTGAAAAAAATAGGTGGTACTTTGAACCTGTCAGTGTGTTGGCAACAGTTTCCTTAAGCAGTAGAATTAGTGGATTTTCTAGATCTGTTTCGAAAGACTGTTCATAATTAGGAGTGGAATGCCCAAAGCCATCTCGGTTGTAATATGTTTTTATTGATCCTGCAAGTGTGACTGATTTAAAAATGATAGGTTGATTCGATATACTCGTTGTTGATTAACCTGTAACTTATCTCGAGTCCACTCACTAGAAGCCAGTTGCCATTTTTTGCTCTACCTATGGCACCTTGGGTGCTTTTGTTTTAGTAATCCTGTTATTCTTGAGCAAGCTCAGAATTTTCGTAAAAAGTGCTGTATCACGCTTTGTTACTGAGATAGGTACACTATGAGCTGGGTTTGTATTCAAGCGTTTGGTTTGGGGGGGGGGGGGGGAGTCAGATGGTATGAAGAAATATCCTATTTGATCAATAAGCTCTTGATTAGTTTAATATTGTCTTAGACAACTTATTTAAAGTCTTTCTTTGAGTGGTAATGAGATGTATGTTTGCTGACTTGCTCTAACACGAAGTATTTCATATACAGTGCCGATATATTGGCATTAGTTGAATGTTTGTATGAACTCATTGATCTTAGATTTGGCTACTTTGGGGATATTCCTTTAGTTTTGTGTGGTGGATCTCATCTATGTGGCAAATTTTTAATTGATACGCTTTGAACTTGTTGCCTTTTTAATATCTTACCAAGAGCATATTTTTAATTGGAGATGGTTGCTTTGGGGCGGTGGATTTATATTGAGCTCCTTCTGGTAGAGGAATCAAGTTGAATGGAAAATTGGAAATGTGTAATTACATAATGTTTTTCTTAGTCTAATAAAGTAATAATTCGGTTATTTTTGTCCAATTTTCAATGTTTGATGCCCTTAGACTTTGATTATAAGTTAATGTCTGGTTTAATTTTATAGGTATATCCCGATAAATGTTTATGATGTACTCGTAACTTCTAGGTAAACAAGATGAAAAATTATAATCCATTGTGATGAACTGGCCTAAGGGGGAGCGGTAGTGTAAGCAATGCATATTTAGTGGTTAGAATAATTTAGAGAAGAAGCTAGTCATAGTTAGACTATAAATGCTGATAAAGAGTAGACCGGTAAGGGAGAAATCATGAAGAATACTATTGAAAATTTTCTATAAGTTATTTTACACTTTGGGTGAGAACAAGCCTCTAGAAGACTTGTATTATCTTGTATTTCAGCGTTTAGTGCATACTTTTCACCTCCTTTCTCAAAATTTCTGCACAATTTTTCCAGTTTATAACATAAACATAATTTTGAGCTGTTTTAGGCAGATTATGGCTATTAGTCAATCCTTTCTATATCAGCTGTTACATCATTAAGGTGAAGGGTAGGATAATGAAATGTCTATTGCACTTACTTTCTTCTCTTCATGCAGTTTCAAAGTAAAAAGGCCATAGCATCACCTTCATCTGGAGTGGAAACAGCTGCAACACCACCATTGGATCGGCGTAAGGTTGCTCGACAACATGTGAGGGCTTTAAATACTGAATTTGCAAGGTCCATCTTCTTTCCAGTGGAGTTCTTGTTTATTCTATGTCTCTATTATTGGATCACCTTGCTTGTTTTGAGATGTTTGTGATCTACAAATGACTGTCTGCAGTCAGCAATAAACTGGTGTTCTTTTGGCTCTGAAGTGTGATGCTAATATGCTATATCTTATTTTTATTTTCCTTCTTTGAGTGATCCCCTTTTGACTGTCTTTGTGATTAGATATATGTATTTACCTCTTTATTATTTGCAAAGCTATATATTTGACACCTTGAATTTTTATATTGCTTAATTATGTCGACAGTTGGGTGCAATCTCAGTTGCGGGATCACCCAGATGAACTTTGGGAAGATGGCGTCAGGGACTACCTAACTCAGGGTTCGGACATACTGGTATGATATATTTTAAGTCCTTTAATCATTTAATATTTTAATGATGATTAAAATGTTCTTCAGCCAGAGTTTGGTACTTGGTGATATTGTTTTTTAGTAAATTTGTGTTCATGTACCTCATATTATTTTATTTTTTCTGGCGGGTTGGTTTTAGCTTATTTGATTTTTTTTTTGTGCTCTATTTGGCTATCCAATTCTTTCTTCCTTTCTATCTACCCTCTGTTAGTGTTGAATTGTGGAAAAGTTAAATAGCAGAGTCACAGAAAAGAAATTGATGTAGGAAGGCAGAGAAGTTCAAATAGAGAGACAGAAAAAATTTTGTTCGTATCCGAGCTATGGATGATCACCAATCAACGTAGTTCATAGCCAATCAAAGCTGCATATTACAGAATTACACTTACGCTTATGGTTCATAATGCATTTATTGTGCAAATAGTATTATTATTTTTAAATTTTTTTTTTTTATTTTATTATTTTTTTTATTAACAATAGAGTTTTGAAAATTTGAACATACATGTTCTCCTATTCAGGCCTTTTGACCTTAGTGTTTGTTCTTGTTTTTGCAGTTTTTCACTGTTAGTTGTTCTTCTGCATTCAATTAAGTTTAGATATTTATTTTTATGGCCAACTTTTTCCAATGATCAATATGCCTCTTGTTTAATAGGAGAAATTTGCTGACGTTGTTAACTGGCTAAAATCAAATACTGGTAGTGAAGGTAGTAGGGTGCCGCCTATAATGGGAACCCACAGCAATGAGAAGAAAAATACACCACATGCAAACAACAAGGAACTAAATTCTGGCCCAGGGTCATTTAAGTTAGGTATGTCTAGTGCCAATGCGGGCCTCATATCTTCGTCAAACTCTGGAGCTTCCAGCACCCAAGCCTCAGTTCTTAACACAGCTTCAAGTTCATCCCCTTCATGGAATTTCGGATTGTCTGCCAGTTCTCAAGCTCTTTCGCAAAGTGTGAGTACTGCTCCTACAACTTCATGGAGCTCTGGAGTATCCACTGATAACAAATCCGTATCACCAGTAAAAATTGTTAGCTTTTCTACTTCGCCTAATTTTGGTGTAACATCAAACAATCATGCACCCTCATCGACGACTACCACAAGCTTTATGGGTTCCACAAGTTCTGGAATATTCTCCAACAGTCAAACACCACCGTTTGGTGCTTGGAATGCTGGAACCTCCTCCAACAGTCAAACATCTTTCTTTGGTAGGTATTTTTCATGAAATACTGGGAATGGTACATCTATTTGAAGATGAATAGCCATTTATTCCCTTTCGAGAGTTCTGGGTAATTTTACTTAGATATGGCCCATATGGGTGTGGCGGGCTGGCGGCTCATTAATTGTTTAAACTTATGCTTTTTAGTTGATAATTAATTAATACTCTTTATTTTGTACTCAGGTAATCTGAAACCGGCAGCTTCAAATGACACTGCTAAGGAGGATGCTAATGAAGGTATGATACAAATTCAGTTTTCTAACTAATTTCCTCCACCACACATACCTTTTTGTGTGCTGGATTTTAGGGGGGATACAGGGAATTAGTCATGTTAAAACTTTTAAGTCATAACTGGAAAGCTTATTATAGTTATTTTGTTGAAAAAACCTAATTATTTTTCTGGCTAAGGTACCTATTTTCAACTTATACTTTATTGTTATTGCTGGTATTGCTCTGGGAACGTGTTTCTACTTTCTAGCCTTCTCGTTGAGACTTTGGGTGTATGTCCTTTTGAGCTATGTTAATCAGACACGGCTTATATCGCGAAGGGTTCGTGTCAACATGACACTTCACGGACACGGGACACGTGTCCGATCCTTCACTATGCACTCGGACACTTCCATTAAAAGAGGAGAGGAAACATGAAAGAAAAACATATCTTGTTCGAAAACCACCATTAATATAGAGAAGATGGAGAGAAGATTGCCTTTTATTTAAAGAATTTACCGAGGAAAGAATTATAATTAAAAAAAAATAGGGGTAGACATAATGAAAATTTTAAAGCTTTTGCAATATATAATTTATTTATATAAATTTTAGTGACGTATTGACGTGTCCCCGTACCCGGGTCCAAATATCAGACAAAGTCCCCGTGTCCTAAAATTTTGGAACTTGCCGGATCGGACACTTGGATAGCTTTTGAGTTTGATCAAGAATTGGTGTACTTCTGTTTAGCTACTTTTTGCCAATCATTTATTTTTTTTGTCAAAGAGGGTGTGTTCTTTCTTTGCAACTGTTTCTCTCCTCATATTAAACACCCATCATAAGAATCATAACTACAATAGAACAGAGAGAAAAGGTTCTGCTTAATTGCTCTCAATAAACTGAGTTCTTGATAATGATGTGTAGTTATTTTAGTCTGTTAGATGAGACAACATGAATTTAGAATTTGTCTTGAGGCAGTTTTTTACACATAAGCGTGTCCCTGGAACCGAGCTGTGCCTTGTTCTTTTGAAACATCAGTGGTATTTGTCGGGCATTTCCAATTTAAACATTTCCTTACTAGTTACAACAGAAATTCATGTATAGTCTGAAGCTCTGGCCACCTAGAATACCTATACATATGTTTTTCTGACATGCTCTTTCGCTTCGCGTACTGCCATATTGTTCCAAAAAGTATAAGTTGGTGCTCTGGGTTCCCGCATTTCCCTGTAAAATATCCCAAGTTTGATGTCTGTAATGTTTTCTCTTACATATCCGCTTCTGGAATGTGCTCCTGGAATTTTTCTCTGTTACTTTAATTGTCAATTGTTCTATATTAGACACACATATACCTGCTGCATACATCTGACATTCCTAGACACTGCTTAAGACTGGATCATAATGGGATTCATGGTTTATTTCATTTATGTTGATAACCTTTTCTTATGTATTGATATATGTTGAGAGCCTTTTTTATTTTATTAGCTGTGCATGCTTATCTTTCCAACTATTGCTCAAATATATGAATCTGCAGATAATGAACCTGAGCAGCCTAGCAGCCCATCTGTGAAAAAGGCTGAAGAGAAGGGTATTACTGTGGTGCATGAAACCAAATGCAAACTATATGTAAAGGTACTGTCTGAATTTTATAGCTTGCCTTTCTTTAATTCGCGTTGTGTGAGTACTGCATAGGCAGCACATATCTTGGCTGCCGAAACAACAAATATGAAGTACTTATTATCGATGAGTATTCTACAAGGTTTGGAAAGTAGGTTGTAGTGTCACACAGTCATAGAGTTCTAAACTGTGTACATAAATATACAATGGTATGCATATTGAGTTTGTAACATAGTTTGCAGAATCTTGGTTAATACTCATTTCTGTATGCTGACTGTCATTTGTTATCTAAAGTGTTTTGTGATATTGATTTCCCGGATCCAGGATTTTGGTAGGCGCTTTTTTTGGTCATGTGATAGGTTGTGGCATATGATTAAATAAAGATTTCAGTTGAAACATAGAACAGTATTATTAATTTATTTTGTTTATGTAAAGAGACTCTCACAAGTCACACCTATTTCTAATGATATTAAAATGGTGTTTTTCTATTGATTTTCAGTCAACTGATCCAGCTGATAAAGAGCCATGGAAGGATAAAGGTACTGGCCAGCTCTCCATCAAAAGTGTGGAGGGTGCTAGCAAGGGTACCAAGGAATCCAAGCCAATAATTCTTGTTCGTAATGATGTATGTTTCTGATATTATGCTTCTTTGTTGATAACCATATCGTAGTATGTTTGAATGATTATTCATTTATAGTTTCCCATTGGACTTTCCATCTGCGTATCAGCATTCTATAATTTCTGACTGCTGCTATTGTGTGTCTGTTTATCTGTTGGTTTTGTAGGTCGGAAGAATTATGCTTAATGCTTCAATATACCCAGGCATAAAGACAAGTATGCAGAAAAATGCCATTGTGACCATATTCCATACTTCGGTAATGCACTACAATGCCTTGTATTGAATTTACCTTGTGTATATTTGTTTCTTGTAGTCCTATTGTGTTGTTACTACTTGTCGCTCTGCTGCTTATACAGTTGTACTAAATGTAGTGACACCTTGCAAGTGACACTAATGTTTCATCTTCTCTTTGTTCTTTGTTTTAGTTTCCCCGGTCCCTGGCAAATTGCTTTTGTATGCATGGATATTGGAATGTCTTTTGCATTCTGCTATGATCTCCCATCTTGTCCTCTTACTTGTATGTTTCCGACATAAAGTTTCAAGAAATAGGTGGACACAAACACTTTGTTCATCTCCATAGAGCCTTGTGCTTTCTTACCATTTGGTCCTTTGACTTTAATTCATCCTTGACTTCTGTTGGCTAGCGTTTTTCTTTTTGAAGAAGTAACATACTTTCACCGAAAAATATCTTTAGGCAGTCTTAATATGAGATGAGATGCACCATAACATAACTTACTACATTTTTGTGGCTAATTTTACTTTTCTCAATCCTTTTCTGTGTAGGAGGATAGTGAAGGGGAAAGTAAAGTAACCCCCCGGACCTTTCTAATAAGAGTAAAGAACGAAGTGGAACGAAATAAGCTGGCAGACACTATACGTGAACATGCACCAGCTGCTTGAGAGCTAGATAAACTATTTGTTTATGATTGTAGTTCATAGTTCTTCGTGGGTGTTCTGGCTGTACTTAATGTCAGGCAGCAGTTGTTATTTGTTTTCTGCTGCAATTTTGAGAAGGCGAGCTTGCAGGAAAACAAGTACAGACGAACCCTTTTGTGCCAGAATTTGTTTTACAATATCCTCCAATGCTTTCAGGAGATGTTGATACACAGGAGCAGGGAGGGCATGTATCATAAACAATAGTGAGAAGGTTAGAAAAATTTTCCTCTGCCCTTGTCATTAAATGGTATGTATCATGATATTAGTTTGTCAGATTTCTTTTATAGGCTACAAATCTGTAACTCAAAGGCAATGTTCAACTCTTACGCAAAGTAATCGAAATGGTTTTCCATAATTGTTGTTGTTGTTTTTTTTTTTTTTTTTTTTTTTTTTAATTTTTTTTTAATGCCATGTATATTATTGATACTACTATTATTCAGTCAATTGTCACTGGTCCTCAGAATGGCTGCTTAATGCTAATATATATACGAGTACTCCCTTTGTCCCGAAGTTACAGATCCATTCTGCTGACTTCCTTGTATGTTCCATCCCTTCGTCCCGAAGTAGTTTTCACTTAAGTGGTGTGGCATGCTAAGATAAGATGAGTAACACGTCTAATCATATCATATACGGAGTACAAGTTTTTGCACCTTTGTTGCCCTTGTAACTCCTCAAATTTGGCTGTCTTCAATTAGAAAGCTAATAGTGTAAGCATGCTTATATTAGACATCAATATAGAATAGTTTCTATTACGAGTTTACCTGAGCTCACATTTATTGCTGCCAACTACACCCACCCAATTCTGGAGAATTATTAGGTATATAGAATTCTCAATTAGTAAATGCTTTCAAATATTTGACCACATCCAAGTACATTACCAGAAAATTTTAGGATATCGAAAAATGGTGAAATATTTTTATTATTCCGTTTGCTAAAGTGCAAATTTGACTACTAATATTTTTTACACTATCTAGTAATTAAAATTGTTAAAAGTTGGTATTTGAAAATATATACTACCCCCATTTCATATTATTTGCAACGATTTGACATAAAGTAGAGAGAAAAAATGTCTAATCATTGCAAATAATATAAAACGGAGGTAATATAATATATTAAAAATAATCCTATCTTCTTTTCAAAAACAAATATATGCAAAATATTGGACCATCATGAAATTGATAAATATGACGTAGTTAAATATCAAAGAATGAGCCCAATAATATTATGAATAGGGTGCTTCAGTGAGAGAAAATTGATTTTGGATAAAAAGAAACACCAAACCATAACTTTTGACTTTTCTCATACATGATCTTTGCTTTCAGAGCTTGTAATAATTGGGATTTTATAAGTTTCATAAAATGAAAGATGCAAGTCAATAATCAAGTGAGCCCAAGTATATAATGTATGGAAAATGATCAAAAGTAAAAGAATGATTGCGAAATTAAATAAAACAAGCGAAAAAACAAAGCTTAAAAGAGAATACATGTGGCCTAGACAGTATAAATAATGCCTAAAGTGAATGGGTGTACTTTGTAACTAAATTGGCCCACTTCCTATTCCACCAACAAGCCTATATGCAACTATATTCACTAGCGTATTGTACACTTTCGGCATTTTGTTTTGCCATTAAATTTATTTTATATTATACGGAGTACTTCATATTATTTATACTCTCTTCGTCTCATTCTATTGTCTTATACGGTACTTAAAAGTTGAAACACGTCTTATAACATAGGTATTTCCAATTTTGTATGGGTAAACCTTATACTAATATTTGGTATTTCAAAAGGAGACAATCTTTAAAACGAGAGGATAGTTTTTATTGAACAATCTATTTATATTTAAAGGGGTGTTGGTTCTCAGAGAGGTAAAAAGGGAGGGTTAGGGATAAATTACCCTCCTCATCCCTCTATTTCTATACTTAAGGAAGGTGGTATATAGAGAACCAAAAAAAAAAAAAAAAAAATAAAATAAAATAAATAAAATTGGAAAATAAGAGCTAAATAGGGTAACTTTGTAATTTTATCACTTAAATAGGTGGTAGTATTTAAAATTATTTCTAATACTTATCAAACATGGGAATATGGGATAAGAATTATTTGTCCTTATTCCACCCTTATCCTTCCTCTTCCCTCTTATCCCTATCTCTCAAACCAAATGATACTCTTCATGTTTCAATTAATACTCCGTAGCTTATTCGTTTTTTTTTATTTTGTCCCAAATACCTTTGTTTTTTATTAACTTTGGGTTCAAGGGTGTGTTTTATTCACTTAATTTCCAATTAGTTGAACTTATATTAACTTATTAGACCTTATTAAAATTTATTTTAGTTGTAATTTGTACGTAACTCATATCAGAACTTATTTTTTCTAAGCTAAACTTATCTTAACTTACCAATACTTATTACACTGGGGATAAGTGAAAATAAAGTGAACAAAATAGCTCTCAAACCATATGTGACTCGCCTACCATTCAAGACAATTTTGTAAAAGATGGTGTGAATGCCCACTATCTCATATTCTCATTCCTTAATAAGAAAAGCATAACAATCCACTATTATAAAATGTGCATATTTATCTCAACATAACTCACTATAGCTATTCTCCTGAAAACATGTGTTGGGTGAATTAGGTATTAAATTGAGGGATTATTATGCTAAACTATTTCCTCTATTTAATTTATGATTGTACCATGAAGTAAAGTACTCTCTCCGTCCTTTTATTAAAGTTTTATTTCAAAAATTTATTGCTCACATAATAAAGAGAAATGAGACTCTGATAAAAGACGGAGAGAATACATTTTATTAAGAATTGAGGCAAAATTGTGCACATGTGGTTGTAAGTGCTAAGTGGGGTTATAATTAGACTATGAAGCTTTCTTAAAGGAATACCCAAAAGAGGAATATGTGGCAAACAAAATGGATTAGGGAGTACACATTTTACCTATTTCAAATTAAAAGAGATAGGAAAACAGATAATACAATGTTTAATATCGTGCATAATTTGAGCATGCATCAATACATATTAATTTTCTAAATGATAACCTTTTTATAATAATGTATTGTTTAATTATATACATTATATATACTGATGATCATGGTTATTATTCATTGACAAAAGTAAATATCTGAGGGCTTGTTCACATTTACTTGATTTCAGTTCAGCTCCAATCAGTTCAGTTCAGTTCAGCTTTTAATTTCCCTCTCTCATAAAATATTCATTTCAACTTAGTTTAATTTAGTTCAATTCCAATCAATTCAGTTCAGTCCATCTCTAATCAGTTCAGTTCAGTTCAATTCAGCTCAGTTTAGTAAATGTAAACAGGCCCTAAGGGCCTGTTCTGATTGGTTGAACTCAGCTGAACTGAACTGAACTGAACTAAACTGAACTGAACTGAGCTGAACTGAACTGAACTGAACTTATTAATTAGTGATTTTTAACTATGGATTAGTGATCTTTGATTATTTATTGATTATTTATTACTATACATATGTGTATATACAAATGTACATATTAAAATATTTACGAAAAATATACTATATAATTATAAAATTTATGGAAAATATATTAAAAACTTGAAACCTCTAAACATTTTAAACACATAAACTATTTAATTTAAAAATAAAATAGTATTATGACACAAAAGAACACAAAACACTTACATGTATCTAACCCATTTAAACAAATTTAAAAAAATATATTTAAAAAAAAGAAAAAGAAAAAAACACGAAAAGCTAACAGAGGCAACGGCCCAATAGTCCAACACCCTAACCCGCTCTCTTTAATGTTTTAATTAATACATGTATCTAACTAGTATCTTACCCCAAATTATTATTATTATTATTATTATTATTATTATTATTATTATTAATATTATTATTATTATTATTGTTATTATTATTATTTATTGATGATTATTATTATTATTTATTACTTATTATTATTATTATTATTATTGTCGTTGTAATAAGAGCTTAAAAGAAGGAAATTTGGCTTTATATTAATAGCAATATCATTAGAAAATTAAGAGCTGAACTGAACTGAACTGAACTGAATTTCAACGGAAGAGAACAAGCCCTAAGTATTGCAAATATTTTAAAACAAAGAAGTATATTATATTATATTTTATATAAAAGTCAAAAGTTTGTAAGCTATATTAGTTGCTTTTGTTTTCAATTCTCATTTAGATAAACTTATTCTATTTTTATTAGTGGGGCTTTTAGTATGAGGGATAAGGATAAGAAAAATAGGAGGGTGGGATAGGAATTGGAATTATAAATGGGATAAGGATAAAATAAAGTGTTATCGTTTGTTTCGAGAATGAAAGTAGAATAAGTAATAAAGTTGTAAATATACCGTTATTAACTTTATTCTTTTGCTTTTCATTAAAGGCATAAATGTCTTTTCCATTATAATTCTTATCCCTCTCCCTTATACCAACACCCGTAGATAGAAATTGAGGGATAATGAGGTTGTTTAACTCCTAATCCCTAGTAACAAACAATAGGAATTTCATTAGAAGTAACAGTATCATATACTAAAATAGTGGTGGGGACTTGGAAGGGTGCAAATGAGTCAAGTAATTTGCGTTAGAATTTAATTCGAGTTTCCGATTCAAAGAAAGTGTTGTTTTGAAAAACTTTACTTTGTTTGAATTAAAACGGTTGTCACACATATATTCTCTTTGAGGGTGCAGTGAAGGATAAATTAAGGGCATGTTCTCTTACGTTGAAATTCAGTTTAGTTCAGTTCAGTTCAGCTCAATTTAGTTCAGTTCAGTTCAATTCAGCTCAGCTCAGCTGAGTTCAGTCAATGAGAACATGCCCTAAGTGATTAGAGCTTCTCTTCTAGTTTCAATAGATTTTGAAATCGATTTTTTCTCCCGTCATTGTAACTCTCTAAAGATAATAATAAATAAAACATATACATTCTTTTTACTTGATATTCGTTCTTATAGATTTGTTTAGAGAACATGGTAACAACTTACACTAGACCGCACACACATGCTACAAGGGTTTGTTCCGATTTACTAAAAACAACTTAATTGAACTTATTGGAGCTTAAATAAATTCTTTATAAGAGAAGGAAATTAGAAACTGAAATGAATTGTACTGAAATTAAGCTGAACAGAACAGGCCTCAAAGAGTCTACTTTATACAAGATTAAAAGGAGATTTCAACTCAAAACCATATGACAATAAGGCTTATAAGGAGAGCAGCCTTGTAACCTTATATATTAGACACAACAACTCTCTACTCACTTCAATTAGGGATACATATCTCAATACTTTTATTTTCTTATCTGATGTGGGACAATACTTTCACTCTCGCGTAAGTTTGTTCATGTGCTCAACAGTACATCAGGTGAAAAAAAAACATACACAGCTATAAAGAATATATTCCAAATTGATGTAAATATAAAGCGTGATTACAAAGAATATTTACGGCGCCATGCCCAATTTCATGTAGGAATGAAATCAAATTGCAGGTATAGTATCCTGCTAAAATGGGAAATGCCTCTTTCAATTGATATATCTGTGAGATACTTATCTTTGAAATTCTTATCTTTAAAGATCAAAACCAGAAGTGCTAGGAATCCACTTACACTTGCACAAACTTTTATCGTTCATGATACCTTATGTATGCTCTTGAAAGAGGATGGACCGATGAAGTGGGCGTAAAGCTATTAAAATGAACATACAAAAGTATCATATTC